CGCTTTGTCTTCAGCGTTGTGTCGGGAAGGTGAGCATCATAGAATGCCATAAATTGTCTTTTTTCATGCTTAACCTTGTTACTTTCAGGTAGACTTCTCAGGCAGTAGATGACCAGCTATAATTTCTACATAAAAACTGCAAAGAAGTCTTCGAACATATGGTGGAAACAATTAGCCTGAAACTACACCAACAGCTTGCTTCTACAGGACAGCTGGCTTCCCATCCATTTGACTGCTTTTGGTTCATTGAAAGCATGCCGTCCTGGAGGTCCAAGTCAGCAGGTGGGAAAGCCTTGAAAGAACACCCAACCTGCTATCGCACACTAAGGTACATAGGGAATTAGGTTAACATTTCCACAAGAATTTGTTAGACATCGGACAAAACCTTCTGATTTGAAATAGTGCTGGCCTCACAAAAGGTGGAAGTTCATTCTGTCGCTGGTTTCTGATAGTCCTTATGTAGTAAGACTTCCATAGAATAACCAATAATTTTAATATGTTTGTGCACAGGCCGCCCTCAGTTTACACATATCCAACTCACAGAGAACTCATGGTTCCCTTAAATGTTATGTAAATTTGGCCTCTGACAGGTAAACTTTGGGCTGCTAGCCGCAATGTTAGAGGTTCAAACCCACCACTCCTGGGGAGAAAAACAAGGCTATCTGTTGCCATTAAACTTTACAAAGCCTGTGAACCTCTCTAGAGGGCTGCCATAAGTAGGACATGACTCAAAGGTGATGGGTTTGCTTTGGATTGAAACAATTAAATCAACCTGTTCCTCATTTGCAAATATATATACATTTATATCCTTCCACAATTGCCTTCACTGGCGGCATGTGCAGCATTTAAATAATGATGAAAGCCTCGAGTCAATAACCCAAACCCACTGCCGTTGATTCCAACTTTCACCCAAGGGTAGGAAGTTGGAGTACACAAAGGTATCTTGGAATAAAGTCCAAGCAATCTATCATGGGGGGAAAATCAGCCAGTGAAAAAGGCCGACTCAACAAAAGGGCAACTGAAACAATAATAAGCCACAGGTCTTAAACGTGAAGCCAGCTTTATTACAAAATCCACCAGACTAGAAAAAGCCAGTTGATCTGATACTGAGACACTGGGGGACTTTGAACAGGTAACTTCTCTTCCCTGATTCATGATAATTAAAGCTAAGAACACAGGAGTCTGCGATGGCCTTGAAGAGCCCTCTCACTTGACAGACTGACTTTCTAGCAGACAATTTAAATTAGTTATTTCTTCCCCAATAGACAGCTGCTGCTACCTCTTAGAGCAGGTAAGGATGAGGGTGAAGGGTGTTACTGCCTACCCACTGTAACATAGTTCTTTCTGAGTAAAGCAGGAGCCTCTGTTAAAATGTACATGTTCCACGGCTAACAGGTCACATTAAGCTATTCATATGGTCTTCAGACTCCAAGGACTGCCTGGAGGTGCAAGTTAATGTAAGTCCCAAGACTTTCTTGCCAGATTCCCCCCGTCCTGTGCAGCTGCTTGTCAATAACCAAATTGTGACGCCTGCAGCATTATTTATCCTTTTCCATTTCAAGTGGAGCACAAAGTGAATGAATGTCTTATGTGAATGGAACTGCCACGTAGGTAGAGTACTCCATCACCCAGGAGCAAAATAGAGCCATGTCCCCAATGTGCACTAGGGATGATAAAGCACTCTAAATTACCTAGGCTGGTTGGGGAGAGAAAGTTCTGCTAGCAGGCTCTGCAGTACCAATTTAACGGAACCAAATTAGTTTGTTCAACTAGACCTGATGCAGCATTTCCAGAAAATTGGAAAGGCCTATGTGCCCTGGAGAGCAAAGGGATCATCAACTAACACTTCGTAGCTGGTTCCATTTGATGTGGACAAATAACCTATGACTCAGAAACAATAAAACTGATTACGTACACACACACACACACACA